ACAAGTGCCACGCTAGTAGTAACAGGTGCCTTACTAGTAGTAACAAGAAGCTACTAGGAACAAGTGCCACGCTAGTAGTAACAGGTGCCTTACTAGTAGTAACAAGAAGCTACTAGGAACAAGTGCATCGCTACTAGTAACAAGGAGGCTGCTCTTTGTTCCATCGCTGAAAACACTCAACACTTATCAACACTTCGCCTTGGGAGCGCCAAGCAACGCTTAGTGTTGGTCATTCTCTTGGACCCATCGTTGTCCCACAACCAACAGCCAACATCTCCTCCGTCTGTCACACCCAAAAAATAAAGAGAATTGTCTTGACCAATCGTCCATTATAACAATGTAATACTGTATTATATAGTATATATATTATATATACGCATTGGCAGTGCGAGATTCGCAAGATTCCTGGACGTGCAGGTCGTGTTTCCGTTACCTGGATGTCACAACCCCTATCAGTAGAAGCCACGTATTATGAAACATCACGTAACCGGCGTAACCATCTGAGAAATGGACGAATAACCACATTGCCACTGGCCAACTCGAATTGCACAAATCAGACTTGTCACGATCAGTCAACCAACCCTGCAACCTGTACAATCTCAACATCATGACACATCATGCAAACATGAACTGGACATGAAGCCGCTCCCCAAAGTGTTCGCGCCTCAGCTTGCAAAGCTTGCAACTTCCTCAACTCTCCTCATTTGGGGAGGTTGTGCAGCGACATGCAGCGACAATTGGGAATGAGGTCAAACATATATTATAGTGCTACAATAAGTGGTATCTCCGTAAATGAAGCTTTGTTTGGGCAAGTACATCATCGATTCTGGTCACAACCAGTTGTCACCGAGCCAAAGTGTAAATCACTATATTTGGTTGGTTACATAAAAGTTTTTTGTCCTGAAATGTCAATGCTCAAGTGCACTCAAGTGAATCCACAAATATGTGGACCAGCCCTGCAATGATTGGGTCCATTCCTTGTTTGAAAGGCCATGTGCGTTCCGTCCACCGGCCGCAAGGACCGCGGTGTTATGGGACAACCATAGACAACAAACACTTGGACCGCACAAGATTGACATGTAGAAGCAGGCCCCTCTAGCTTGACTTGGGCCATTCTTCCACTCAGTTGGGCAAGAATTGTGCCAAGCAGCCAAAGCTGCGTGGCAGCAGCTGTAGGCGGTTCTGTGAGAGCCGCAGGGTCCGCAGCCTTGCACGTGCAAGTCGCAGGGAGTTGCAACGAATGCTGATTGTGTTTGCTGTTCCGTCATACCTAGTTGGAGACAGTTCATATCCTCTCTTCCGCACAAATCATGCAAACTTCGATGATCTAATCCAAAAGGGCCCTAGCACCTCTGGAAATTACATTTACATACATTTACAATGCACATGCAAAAGGTGCGAATCGCGCTGCTGCTGACTCATCCTCAATTTGAGGATTGATGGAATCGCTGCAGCCTGGGTAGCTTTTCACCGAAAACGTCAGGCAAAACCTCCAGGCCAGTCTCCTGGATTTCCAGTCGGAGCGTTCGTACCGACGAACGCTGATGTTTCATGTGGACCTTGCGACCCTCGCTTTCGAGACGAGTTGTGCGGTCTTGCTGCTCTCAATGCCCCCAAACGGCAAATTTCACGGTTGCAAATCCAAAGCCATGGTGACAAAGAGTTTGATTGTGCGATATTGTGCGCATGTTGGAACATGTTTTGCACCATGCAAACACTGAATTTCACTCTGCATGTTTCACATTGTTTCGCCGCTTCATCTCGAGCAACGGTGTATCACATTTGCCATACACCACCATGATTGATAAATTCGAAGGCAGCTGCTTTGCAATTTTGGTTACCCTCGAAGAAATTGCATGAGGGCTGGTAGCAGTGAAAGCAGTGAAACCAGTGAGCCTGGACCGCAAAAAGTGGTAAGCATCACATATTGTTGGGACTCCATGAGTCTAAGTATTCAAGTTCGGAGCTCTGTTCAACGAATTTGTGGGCCGGTGTCCCGAATCATGCTTGGAAGGACAGCTTGTGAATCGTGGAAATCATTGGCTACCGCACACCAGTACACCAGTCAATGGCTCCTGCAAATCCACTTCTTTGAGGATTTCAAGCTCCGACCACGCGCAGCCCAGCAAACTCAGTCAATCGAGCTTGGGATGTTGACAGAAACTTCACAAACTAAATGTTGGTGAAATATACCGTTGTTATCCACTGTTGATCTCTCTTGACTCAATTGCAATTCCGATTGATTCAGACCCTTCAGACACGAAATGCGAAAAGGCACTTAATGTAGAATGTCAGGATCACTGTGTGTGTGTGTGTTCGTTTTGGTCTTTGTGTCTCTGTGTCTGTGTAACACACATCCTTTGGGCTTGCCAACTCCTGATCTCAACCCGTGCTGGGTCTACAAGGACGACAAACTGTACCGAACAAATGTCACGGTCGTCCAACATGAATGACGTGGGTCACCTTTTGAACTCCACTCGAGACCCGCTAAACAAATAGAACACAAAAACATACAAAAACTATCACAAAACTTGCCAGATCAAACTCATTGGGACAAAAATCGGATCTAGGACATGTGCTCTGGCAATGTTCCCTGCAAGGGATCTGGCTGGATGCACACCTGGCAGAAGGACAAGTACTACTAAACCCTCCCAAAACGTCTGTGCGTTCACATGTTTCTCATATCCGATATAAAACTCCCCAGTCATGGCTCTGTTTTCACCCAAAAAGCCTCCAAAGACTCCAAAGACTGCAGCATCCAACACAGATTGATCCTGATGCGCCCGGCCTGGATGACCTTCCCACCCAAGGTATCTGGCCACGTCGCCGTCGCAGCGATGGGCATTGATGGGGGGTTCGGTGTGTAGTCAGAGTGAGATTTCCAGGACTCCCTGTGTTCGACATGCGCAAGAAACAGACTTTTTTGGTTTCAAGATGAACCCGAAGCAAAAATGATCAAAAATGTCCAGCCTGGGATGGGATCATCATCCTTCAGCACCACCTGGCACAGTGGATGCTACATTGGCGACTCCTTTGCCAACGGGAACAGCCCACAATCAAGAGGAGAGGCGATGGTGCTACCAAGTACAAATCTTATTCAAAGCAGCGGCACCAGGGCCCTTGCCACCAAAAGCAGCTGGATTGGAAACTTAGTGTGGAAGAGAAGTAACAATATTAATATAAAGTGAAAAAACAACTAAATCGGGAGGGTATGTCTTGGCATGATCGCGCGTCAGTGTCCTCCCAGCAAGTCATCATCTAAACTTGAAACAAGCGGGAGCAGCAACAGCGGAGTCCCCGCCTGTTCATCAACTACCTTGCTAACGCATTGGCAACACAGTACTTGCATATTCTTAGCTAGTCGTGTGAGCAACTGGATGACTAATGAATCGAGATTTGGCTTCAAACCCCACAAACATCCCCCAATAACCTGAAAACTGTTCTGCATTGTCGCGCTTTGCATGACAGGGTTTCTGTTTCTATGCCTGTTCTATATCTAGAGTGAAGTATTCTAAACATGTTCAGTAGCACGGGTACCAGGTGGAGCCAAGCAACACAAAACCAAAGCCTGATCTGCCACGAGCAAACAAACCATAAGGTTCCGATATTATCATATTATCTTGGGTATCTCAGTATATCTCTCAAAAACATGCATCGTTGGTGATCGTTGGTGTATCATAGTGATTCATAGTACATATATTATCATTGCATACATGTTACATGTATCCTGACATGTTACCACAAAGCAACCTGGTTCTCTCATGTCGGTATCACTCCAAGCAAGCCACCAGGTCTAAGCGGTTCAAAGGCAACTGCAATGCAGCAGCCTAGCGCACGGCTAGTCAGACTGGACGAGGACTCGAATGCTCATGGGCCAATACCAAGCCCAAACTGCACACGGTCCTTCACTTCTGGGGTAGCGACCAATCGAAACCAACTTGTCCAACTTCCTTAACAATTCAAGACTACTTTCAAGACTTACAGGGCTCCAAAACCTTGATCAAAACTGGTCCAATCAAACATCTCCAAATCTTGAATCATGATCAGTAGTAAGAATGCTCCTAGTAGCGATGCCCTTTGCTCCTAGTAGCGTCCTTGCTCCATGTTGAAGTCTGCAGTTCTGAACTTTGTCCCTTTGATTTTGCTTTCAACCCCACCAGCTGACTCCGAGCGGAGGCCACGCGGCCGTCCAGCAAGCGTGGGTCGATGCCTGAGGAGATCTCGTTGGGACAGGTCTCACCTGTTCTCTCATCGTTTATATAAATCCATTTTCTGTAGTCCAAAATAGACATGTTTAACAGGGGCCATCAATCGTCACAGTGAAATGTAGCTCTGCCATCCTCAGAAAATGGATCGAATAAATTTACAGCCACAAGTGGACACTCTGTGTGCCAAATGCATCCACCTCAGATTACCTTAGTACCCGTTGGATGTTTAGCACGAAGACTTGCAGAAGCTTGGTAGGGCAATCCCCAAATTGGATCACGATCAAGTTCAATATTTAGGATAAAGAAACTCTCGTTTGAAAATTGTTCAGGGTCCCTCACCAGCCGGAGTTCAAGCATCCAGTATGGTTTGATGTGAGGATCCATTATAAACCTTACCAGCCCCAATGTGGGGGCTCCATTAATTGGCCTATGAAACAACCTTGACATCGCTGTAATGCACGAATATCGTCAGTCTAGTAGAAGCCCATCTTGCACAAATCTACACTACACGTGTCGAACATGGTGGAATATGTGGAATAGTATGAAGCCATAAGAAACCTCAAACAAATGACAAAAAACGAAACAGAATGAGTTCGAGTTCCCGGCTCACGCTCTCGCCGCTGAGAAGGCAGAAGGTCGGGGGTTCACCCATGGCCGTGGCCGCGAAATCGGAACGCTCGGCTGCCGTGGGATGAGGCTCGGTGGGTTAGGATCTGGCAGCGAGCTGGAAATCGGATTGGGTCACTTGGTCAGCGCAATTGAACGTCTGCATGACTGAGTAATAACATGTAGTAACTCACTCTTTGGAGGTCTGCATTGGAGTGGCTTTGATCCAGAGGGAAAACAATCAAAGATCTGATCTGCTTTAATCCGCTTATTCAAGCGTTGCAAGATAAACAGCATTGAAATGCACAAGAGCTTTGGAATCCTTTGATGTACTGGGGCACACCCAGCTGGCTGTAAGCCAGCTGGCTGTAGCCACCAGTGTGATGGGCAAAATCTGCAAGTAGGGACTCACAGGTTTAGTTCAGGATTAAACATAACAAAATAATATAACAAGAGTCCGTTTGCTCACTGAAGTGTCCCATTCCTTGATATGTGGACTGGAGCACAACTGGTCCGGACCAAGACTCCAATCTAGCAGGGGGGGGTAGGAACAAGGACGCTTCTAGGGGCTCCTGGCCTTACTACTAGTAACAAGAAGCTATTAGAACCAAGAATTAAATAGTTTTAGAATTTAATTAGAATTGAAACAAGAAGCTACTAGCGACTTGGGAAGAGCAGAACTTACTTTGACCAATTTGCGACAAGTCCATGGGGATTTCATTGAACTTATAGTATTTCTATGCAGTGTCGGCACCAAGTTTTGAACCAAGGGATCTGTGGGGTGGGCCTTTGACATTGGACATTATATGAATTAACAATATTGAACACACCTTTTCTCTAGCTTTCTCGATGCTGCAACCAGAGCATTACTATAAAGTTATAACATATAACATTCTATAACTACTTATGTCAGGTCCTCTACTCCACTACTAAGCTCTACTGGGAAGGGCCAAACGAATGTCCGACTTCTGGGATTGGGCTAAGACTCATCGAGCTTGACTTTGAACAAGCAAATGTTTCCTCCAATATCTTCTAATTATGCTGTTTGCTTTCCCATGTGCCTCATTCTTCGACATCATTCATTACAATATTATAAATCATCTTACCACCATTGCTGTCGATTGTTTTCGGCATTTTTGTAGCGCCCTACTTTTTGCCATGCCCGGATGCGCCACAAGGTGACTGTTTCTATTATCACACTCGCAATTACATTGTTCGTCATTAAAATTCATCGTTGCCTTGTTCATCTAACTGGAGTCATTGCGGGAAAAGTCGTTCCCACTGAACGCCAAGATCTGAAACCAACACACATGACATCTTGGGCGATATTTTCCAGTGTTTCTTTCCAGACTTGCTGCAACCAAGAAGGTTCTTTGCATGTTTTTGCATTGGAGGTGGCAGTGAAACACGGGGCCCACCGGAGCAGCCACAAACCTAAGATCGCTGGGACAAATCTGATCGGTGAGGAGGTTGAGGAGGTGTGAGGTCACACTGTGGCCGTGGACTGGTGAACCACTTGCCAAACCAAAACATAGAGATGGGGACAGAGGAGAGGATTTTCGGTGTCAAAGTGTCAACAAGCGCAAACACCGAGCAAGAGGTAATGTCGCTGGCTGTTCTACTTGTGTAGCCAATAAGCATTCCAAAAATGTGACTGCTACATGGCAGAGCAAAGAGTCGGTTCCTTTTGATCTTGTGGAGTTTCACCATGACATGTTCTGATTCGAAGCAGAAGCCAAGCCATCGGCCCAGGTTTGCGCATCAGCGAGCCGACGTCGGCGCCTGGAAGCCCGGCATCGGTGTCAAGGGTCAAAGACTGGACCGCGGGCTTTGATCAGGTTGTCTGTTCTTTTTGATGTTTCTTGGCGGGCCATTGCCATGTAGATCAGCTTGGTCAAAATTGTACACTACGTTGCTCTCATTCTGACAACGTCGAGCGCAATCTAGCCGGCTCTCTTCTTAACGTGAAACAGTGTGTGTGTGTGTGTGTCACACTCTGTTTCCAAAAGTTTTTACATGCAGGGGGCTCACGGGCCTGTTCCTGGCGTGAGCCAACGAAGCTCCAGGTTCAGACTAGGATATCGAAAGAGGACGCTCTTTCGACGTACCTGCTGAGTTTTTCACAAGCTGTTACCCCATTTTTCCGTGGTTTGCTTCCATGGTGGTCCCTTAAACCTTTCCTTTGTCGCGTTTCCTGCAGCTGAGTCGCGCTGACGCTCGCCACCACAGACATGTCAGCAGATTGTTCAAACAATACAAGTGCGCTGACCCTTTCACCTTGCGGTTCAATCACCTTTTTCGACCTGGGAACTGAGTTAACTGCAAACCCAAAAGCAAAGTGTGTGCCGCTGTGCCGTCCCACGTGGGTGCACAGTGTGATCCCCGTCACTGGGGCGCTGTTTTCATGCCGGACTACCACTAACTGACTTTCCCGCTTTCTGTACTCGTTGGATTGTCTTAACGGACTTTATTTTCACCACTGTATTCTCAAAAACCCAAGCCGCCGGGCACCACGGATTTACGACCGCCGGGTATACGGAAATTCAAAGCCGCCGGGCCGCCGGGCATACAGAGAATTACCCCACACAACCCCCCCCCCCCCCCCGCCGAGTTCTCTACTCCCCACCTAATTAGGGTAACAGAGGGAAATGGTACTCGACACACTTGTGTGTCCGTGCCTTTCCCTCTGTTGTCCCTGTTCTAGTCTACTCTACCCGGGCGGCTTAAGACTAAAGTCCCACTCCCTAACTATTGCACCTAATTAGTTTCCGCTAAGTAATCGGTAACTCTAGAGTGCTAAGTATTCAGACACACACATGTACACACACACACATGGACATACACCCCTCCCTGCCCCCCGCTTTCTTTCTTACGTTTTTCTTTCTTGGGCTTTCTTTCTCGTTTCCCTGCCCCAGTCAAGAGCTAAGTATTCACTTTTTGCCACACCTATCTTTCTCTCCTGCCCGTTTGGCGCTGCTCTTTCTGTTCCTATTTCTTTATTTTCTAAGGCTCTTTAGCTGCCTGCTTATGAGGTTTTTGCGCCAGAGCGCCGCAAAGCGGCTGAGTGTGTGTGTCACACTCTGCTTCCAAGAGTTTTTACATGCAGGGGGCTCACGGGCCTGTTCCTGGCGTGAGCCAACGAAGCTCCAGGTTCAGACTAGGATATCGAAAGAGGGTGCTCTTTCGACGTACCTGCTGAGTTTTTCACAAGCTGTTACCCCATTTTTCCGTGGTTTGCTTCCATGGTGGTTTGCATGATACCTCCCTTAAACCTTTCCTTTGTCGCGTTTCCTGCAGCTGAGTCGCGCTGACGCTCGCCACCGCAGACATGTCAACAGATTGTTCAAACAATACAAGTGCCATGACCCTTTCACCTTGCGGTTCAATCACCTTTTCGACCTGGGAACTGAGTTAACTGCAAACCCAATATCAAAGCGTGTGTTTGTATAATATATATATGCCGTATATTGCTGTGTATTGTGATGATCCAGCACCGTCGCAACGACTGTTTCCTCCAGCATGCATTAGTCTCACGCAACGCTTGGCATTGGCCCAACACATCGTACCTCGCGCAAACGCAGGGCCAAGGAAGGCCGCCACCTGAGCAAACACTCTACCTTGAACGATATTTGTTCCAATTATATAATATATAATATATATATACAACTCGATATTACTAATCTAGCCATTTTACTTGCAGAAGGGAGCCCCCCTAGCACAGGTGGCAGGGAAGGGGCTGTATCGCTAGTACTAATCTAGCCTTCCTTGATGTTCAGCTCCACTCAGGCCAAATTTGTATGAAAGGCTAGGGTGGAAGGATGATTGGCACATACAGCGCTTATCCACAAACCAATGATAAATCTTTACCGGCTTGCAGTTCAGGACATCAAAACTGTCGGTGGTCTGTTGATGTATGTGAGGTCTGAATCCATTTTTGGCTCTGCAAGAAGTGGCAGTGTGCTCAAACCATCTAAGAGCCTCACGCCGAATGTTGCTCCTACAGACGAAACAACATGTAACAAAATAGGACAAAAGCACACATGCTTGGTCCAGTCCAACGGTGTACATGGTCTGCGATGTTCTGCGTTGGCAAGAGTCGACCACTGGTAAGAAGCAAAGTTTCGGACATGTTGCCTCACACTTGCTGTGTGCCATCTGTGTTGCCTCTTGGTAATCAAACGAAGAAGTTTCGACCGGTGTACATGCTCCATTCTAACATATTCACGGCCATTACCTTTAACGCAGAACGTATGAACACTAACTGTTGCTTTGATATTGTCCAGCGTCCATCGTCCGTTGCCGTTTAAATTCTCGGAGTGCAGGGAACTCCAGCATCTCCACCAAAGGCCAGTGGTATGTTCCCTCTTCTGATGTGGAGCCATTTCTTACAGCATCTGGCACCCATGCAGCATGCGCTAGGGCCCTAGAGCCTCACCTGTGATCACTATCCAACCAACAGCAAGCTCTCAATGAATCTCGGCTCTGCAAGTCTCGGCTCCTTGGGGAACATGCGATAGTGGAAGTACTGCCTTGGTCACAGCTGCATCCAGCGCTGCCAAACAACCCTTCAGCGCCCATGGCCGAGTCCAAATGCCCCATGACCCCCAAGGCTGGTAAAAGGAACAAGTCGGCTATATAGTGGAGGTGGGAATACGCGCCCTACCATCCCGTGACAACATCGAAGTTCTTGGTCAGCCAGAAGGCAAAGTGGCCAAGCTACATCAAACTGGTGTGAAAGTCAGTCCAGGTGCTCCCCGCCCCGATTCTGATTCGGGGTTACAATCGACCGGAATGTCCAAAATTGACGCGGTCGGTTCCCCTCTTGCCAAGGTGCTGCCCATGCTTGCTATGAACCCTGCGCATGATATCCTGCAGGGACAATCAGGGACATGGTTCTTTTACCTTGCGAACCAACACAGAACCATCATTCGAATGATGACGTTCCTGAAATGTTTTATGGGAGCGATCTTTTGGAAGGAACACAGGCGGCTGTATTTTACTCTCCTTGGTGGTCAAGGCAACCTCAGCGATCGTCTCCTGCCGAACTGGCAGAACTCGACCAAAGGGCTCATGGCAAGGTCGGGCTCATGGCGAGGTGGGCAAAACGATCAAGTCCAAAGACCTCAAGATGCTGCCTTCAACAGTGAACATGACTAGACGTGTTCTTAATTGACGCAAAAGGCATCAAAAGGCAATACATTGTAAAACGGTGCAAAATGATGGTCAACGTCTTCATGCGAGGTCATATGTCGAAATCAGGGAATCCCCACTAGAAGCACATGTAATTGAGGAAATCCTCAATTTTGCAACACTCTACAAGAAACGTTTCCTGCGGAACTACACAGTTCATTCGGGGTCGATCAATCACATGAGGAGCATCTGGCATGCCCAACACTGGATCGTCCTCTCCCTGGCAAGCTCGTAAGGCGCACGTTTGGCCTCAGGCAGCCGCTTTATTATGACAGTGTGCACATAGTAATATAGGTCTCCCCAAGCCAATATAGCGTTGTTACGTCGTTGATTGGCAAATGATTTTGATTCTGCTCACCTGACTTAAAGCATTTATATAATAAGTTATTATAAGTACCAGAAAGAAATCTACTGCGGTAGCTGGAATGAGAAGCAAAGCCCAAGCAACACAGCTGCCAAGGGCCTACAGGCTCTGTTTAGACCGGGAATGCCATGCCTTCCATGGCTTCCATGGTTTAGATTGGCCATTGAACTTGACGAGCAGCCAAACCATACGGCCATACCTCATCAACGCGTACACGTCGTATACGTTGTATGGCCCTCAGGGGCCCCCTGCCCTCACTTCCACCACCTTGAATTGGAAATCGGAAGTGGTCCTGTCAAGGATTGCTCGTCGCATTCAGTCAAAAAGAGCCAACCCGCATCCCGCATCAAAATATCACAAAAAGATGCAAAAAGTACTCCGGCATGTGAATCGCATCTGGCACAGTTTGACAAAAAACAAACTGTGTCCTCCAACTCTCTGCAAACGCGACGCAACGCCACGCTGTGAACGCCTGGAAGCGCGCCAGGCCCTGCACACAGGCGGCCTCGCAGGTAAAGCGGCGCCCACCTGCTGCGGGGTGTTCTCTGGGATGGGTAGGACTTGTGGGGCAGGTAGGCGGACAGTTGAACAAATGTGAAAACAGGTGCAATGACGCCCAATGACTGAGTCTGGCATTTCCAATTATGCATTTCTTAAAGATTATCCAATCTCCAACATTTCTCACACCTCTCTACCACCAACCCAACAACCTGCAATGCATCTCCCAAGGCTCGTGCCGACGTCCAGGGCCAGGACCACAGATCCATTGGCCGGGAGATTCGTGACCTGTGCACTCAAAGGCTGAAGCTGTGAGTGAGGCACTTGAGATCCGAAATTGAAACCCACTACCGGGCACTACCAATTCTATGTCTACCATGTTCTACCGGCAATGTAGCGTCCTTGCTCCTAGTAGCTTCTTGCTCCTAGTAGGAAGGCCAGGAGCCCCTATATAGTAGAGTCCTTGCTCCTAGTTACAATGTTTCATGTAAGAAACTTTTGGCCGAATCTCCATAGCTGTTCAAAGCAACCTTGAAAACCGACTTCATTCTCTTCAAGCTCTTCTGAATGAGAGAGCTCGACATGCGTCTCTCCTTCTTTTGCCTTCTTTCATCTTCTTTCTGCCTATGGGCCTAGCGCCTAGCCTCGACTGCAAGAATCTTAGCTCCCGTCACTCCAATAAAATCATGGATTAATTCCCACAAACACGTCCGCGACGCACTCTTTTGATCTGGTGCGGTGTTGGATCACCCTGGAAAAATGGTGTCCCTGGGACTCCGGGACCTCTCCTAGGCCCCTGGGCCCGCAACACTATGTAGACAGTAAGCACATGGCAAGGCTGAACAAATACACATGTGACATATGTGCGCTAAAGCCATTAGCAACACATTGGACACGTTGTTGATGAAGCAAGACCCAGCTTGTAGACTGAATATTTTGACAGTCATGCTCCGCTGACCACTTTCCAGGGATGATTTGTCTCATCTTCAGCACACCTTTGGTGTCGCCAAAGCGAGCGGAAAATGCTTTCTTTGCGCAAGGATTCTTGGAGCAACCAGCGGAACAGGTGGGTGTGGAACTAAATTACGCAATTTGAAGACTCGCCTCGTGTGGAATCATGTGGAATCCCAAACCCAAACGGTCACACCCAGCCCATGAAAGACCTGCAAAACTTGGTCCAACATGGGCCACCCTTCTTTGTCCTGACAGAAAACTCTTGGTGAAGCCCGCCCGAGGAGGTTTGGCACAACCAAGGATACATTCTCTGCCATGCTTTACTTGAAACTCGGGGGACCCACAAATTGAAAGAGACACAAAGTGCACAGTCGTGCTCATCAGTTAAGTCACATAATGTCACTTAAGTGCCTGGGAGTCCCTTTGCATCCTTTTGCATCCTTCGGGCAAAGGCAGTTCACCAAGTCTAAACGTCTTGAAAAGTCACCTCAAGGACTTTCTACTGATGTTTCCGGTCACAGGTCACAGCGAGTGGCTCTGAAACAAAGGCAACAATCCTCAACGGCATGGTTATTTTTTGAACACCTTTACATACATATATATATATATATACACATGCTCCAAAAGGAAACCACGAACACTATGAATGAACGTTGGTATGTGTCAGTCGAAGCAATGTCATCTTCATATCAAGGATCTCCCATATCAAAGCAACCATGAGCATACATGTTGATGTCGCCAAACTCCCAGTGACGCGGCAGATTCCACCAGAAGATCGTCCTTGGCATCATGTCCCTTGCGAAGATCGTAGAAGCTATGTCACGTGGCCCAACAATCCCACAGCAATGGCATCGAAGAGGGAGCCATTGTCCCTGGAAGAGTTTCAGGGGATATATAATGATATTGACGGATATATACATATATGATGATAGATGGATTCAAGCTGTCTACATGTGTTCAGACTTGCTGGTGGTATCTGAATCATGAAAGTGTCCTCTGAGGCTTGCAGTGCCTCACATCAACCCCTGCAGCCCATCTTCGTGAGCAAGGCGGTAGCCCGAGAAGCCGAGCGGGATCGGAGATTGTTGCAAGGTATTTCGCAGCGGCAGACCAGCTAGCCAGGGTAGCCTCCAAGAATAGGACATGACAGGGCCTATCTGGTTTGCTCACTTTTGGGAATATGTTTCAAGGATATTCAAGGTTGAGAATTCCAGAATCCCTCGGCTGGTGACAGCACATCTGTCGATTTAAGGATGGCCTTTACGGGCAACTCTCTGCCGGTATTCCCAGAGACCACCTTTGGGAAATTGCGACAGAACCAGACTGTACCCATATCTGTGGGATGGTCAAGAGTTGTATCATATATATATAGATAGATAGTTGAATTTGTTGATTCCCCCCAGAGTTGACCTTCAACACGCATGTTCAATGCCTTTCAGGTTTTGCTGACAACCGAGTTCCATATGACAAGGTCATTAAATCATTACTTAGTTCATCTTGGGAGGTTTCTTGCGGCGCGCATATGAGCATGCCACCACTGGAACGGCTGTCTGGAAGTGATTGTGAAAAAACAAGACGTTCTTGCCAATAGTGAGGAGATGTTCGGCATGGGAGGCAAGCCAAAAAGTCTTGACTGTTCCTCATTCCAGCAAAGTGTGATGATGCCTCAGCCTTCATTTCCCATCAGAAAGTCTCTGAGTTCGTATTTATTCACAGAGCTGTGCGAGCACATTCACTCAGAGGCTGGAGTACTTTTGGACAAGTCTCCTTGCAAGATCTGCTCGCTCACACGTGCTGGTTCTTTGTTATTCACGTCCAGATCATATTGTGAGAGTGCTCATTTGTTGAACACCGGGAGTTAGGAAGAACCTCCAAACGTCCGTGCTTCATGACTATGACACGTGTGCAAGAGCTAGAGTAGCAGAACCACTATCCCACTAATCCTGCTAATCCCACTAGTCATAGTCACTAGTCCTAGTCCAATACTTGCCTACTCAACTGAACTCTTCGCCTTCCGAACTGCCACGCAGGCGGTCCTGGGCATTAACCCATCCATTTTCTCAACAGCACAGAGCTGGAGTCCGCGGAAAAGGAGCGATTTCCTGCGGGAAGGACCAGCTCACATCCCACGTTGTAGTATCGTCGGAGGTTGTAAACGTAAAGGACAAGCTTTTTTGCTGTTACTACCAGTTTGTCATCCTTGTTTCAGAACCGGTATTGTCATTCTGTATTGCAGTGACGCAAGCAAGCCCTAGCAATAGTTGGACCTTAGAGTAAATAAGAGAACAGTTTCTTTTGCACAGTTCCCTTCCAGGTGGACAAAGTGGCATGTCCTGGATATGTCCGGGATCTTATGGTATTTTGTTGGTGTTTTAGTCGTGTTGACAAACCTTTGCTCTTGTCTTGACCGTATTGTTTTGCATCGGTTTCACCTGCCTTTTGTCTAACTCTTGATTGTTTGCAGTGAGTGAATCATGTTCTGGACAAAAGTGACGTGCGAAGACTAAACTCCTGAGAACCAGGTTGTTGTTTGGCTTTCTCATCTGGATTCTTGAGTCAGCTGGTTCCTGGAACCAGTGGCGCTTTGGTTGCCATAAAATGCGCGGTTGCCCTGCGGAGTCTTTCGCCAGTTGCTGTGAGGTGAAACCAAGACATTCTGAAGTTGAAGTGTTGTCTTGATTTGGGGCATGTGACCATGTGTCCCTTAATTCAAACAGAATGATCAACACGCAGGGCGCCAACTGGGTAAGGGTCCTTCATTGCAAGTCTTGAGCATTGCAATTTAATGACATCATGATAAAACATGATTAGTGAGGATGAATGATAAGTGCATGTCCAAAACATCTGCCCATCCTGCCCAAGACAACGTCAGAAATGCACCTAGGGGCCTAGACGCTTTTCAGGTTCCTATGCCAAGTTCGAGACTCTCGAGCAATTGTCCATCTCGAGTCCGAAAGTGCTGCAGCCAGGTCGCTCCGATAGTTCCTGCAGAAGCTTGAGATGGTCGGGTCTTGCAATCTTGCAATGTCTCACAGCCCACCTCTAAGCTTCCACACACTGCTCCTTACACCCCCAAACATGGCATACAAATAGAGCTGTCACTAGCTCCCTTCTTGTAACTTTAAGAAACACCTGTAAAGCCGCAATATATGGCAATGGAGCCAAGATCGCCGATATGTGGCCCCCATGCGTCGCATTGCCATTTCCCAATCATTTTCAGCCTGAGAGGCGTAACTCCTGTTTGATGTAGGGTTGCTGTGTCAGTTCAGTCAGGGCAAGCCTTTTGTGCTGAGGTAATGCCTGCTTCGATGTGGAGATTCCCGTGTCCGATAGTTGCAGGATCACTGGAAGCTTGTTGAATGCGTAAACCGTAATCAACTTATTAGACTTATTGGAAGAGGAGTCCGGTTTTGGCTTTGCAATATGTTGACCCAAGTGAGTCTCCAAGCGAGTCTCTGTAGACACAGCTGAAGTACAGCCAGCCAGCCACTGCAGTTCGGCCAAATACCTCTATATGGGTGGTCAGGCACAGCCAAGCACAGCTAGGCCTAGTATCCACTTTCAGCTGTGCTTGGCTGTGCTCTTTTCTGCTTGGCACTACTCAAGGCGGCGGAAGCATTTTTCTGAACGTCGTGTTTCACAGGTTTTGTGGCTCTTTAGGTGACATGTGACATCCACACCTCGTTCAAGGTAAAGTCCGAGATAGTCCAAGGATGTCCAAGGAATAATATGTTGGAATATCTTGGAGGCTCAAACACGTATCAAACTGGGCCGATCGATTTTTAAACCCCCAAAACACACACACACAAAAAAAAACACACACACACACATGTCTCATGGTTTGGGGTGCTTAGATGCGTGAGATTTATATAGATGAACGTGGAAAAAGTACATCCACCTTTCCATGCGGAGCATAGGATGCACCGCCCACCCAGCTTGGTCCTTGAACCGTGGCTCTCGATGCTTTCGTGCCACATAAGGTCAAGGTCCACCGAAGTGCTCGTAGAGCCTCGGCTCGGCTCAACAGGCTCAGCTTGTTTGACTCAACAGGCTCAGTCGCACTTCGGCTCACTTCGAAGCTTATGAAGCCAAGGAATGAGCTTCTTGTCAAATACAGTTGTTTAGTGTTGCTAATCGAGGAGCCACTCTACACGGAGCACCAATCCCATCGAATGAATGACTCCTTTCAAACACCACAAATGGCTTGTCACAGAGGAAAATAAGCTGCTTATGTAAGTGAATGCCCTGTGGGTTCATGTGGGTTCAATCACGCACACAGCTGGCTGAGTCACAAACCTTCAGTAACAGTAAAACACATACATAGTTCATCTCAT